TAGCGACCCTATGCACAAGAGCCCTAAATGTCGTTCTATCCTGTGCCAACCTCGCCGTCTCAAACACACTCAACACCACTCCAGTCACAGAATCGATCCGTCTCATCAAAGGTCTTCCTCTCCTGCAGCGTCTCTCCACTCTCCCAAACATGACCTCCCTCTCCAAGGACCAGTCCCTCCTTGCAACATGCTCAAAGTATATCAGACAAAGCTTCAGAATCCTTGACTCCAAGGAGCATTCCGGCTTCACCTTCTCCAGGACAAACCTGTTTGTTCTCCTAGCAGTCCATGGTATATTCAACACTCTTCTTCAGCACCACAGCTCAAAGAAATCAATTCTCTTTCTATCATCCCTATTTACTGTCCAACTCTCCAATGCATAGCACATAATTGCAAAGGCTATAGCCTGGATCAGGCACACCTTAGTCTCCAGCCTGATGTCATTGCTCTTTAGTACTCTTGAGAGGTCCCTCATAGCTGACTTTACCAATGCAATTCGTCTCCTTATTTCCTGGCTGCTATTACCAAGAGTGTTGACTGTGGAACCAATTAAACTAAAACTGTTAACTATCTCAATCTAGTCACTATCCATATTGATGCTGCCAATTGCGCCAGTGGTGAGAATCTTTGTTTTCCTGACGTTGAGCCTCAATCCATATTGGAAGCTGCAGTCCTTGACCTTATGCAGCAAGCACCTTAGGTCCTCCTCAGTTTCAGCAAGCAGGGTTGTGTCATCTGCATAACACAGGTTGTTGAAGACTCTTCCACCAATCCTGATACCACATTCCTCCTCGTACAGCCCAGCATCTTGGATGATCTGTTCAAATAAGCATATAAAGATGCCCAAATTACTAGTCATTAACTTATTGCCTTCGGGCCAGAATCAACTCATAGCTGACACTCCACTGGGTGTTCAAGGCATGGGAAGAGATTGCCCATCATTCGGCTATGGAGTTGGTGGTGAATTTGAACAACCAGAGAGGCATGGTCTTTGGCTTTGCCATTGTTGTTACATAGCATCAAAAAGGAAGCTCTTAGCAACCCTGGTCTGAACCTTGACCTATCCTGTACCATCCTCGGGTCTCCTGCCTGTGTGAGTTCATTATCACAGTTACTGCATCAATCCATCTTATCGAGGGTCATCTTCTCTTTTGATAACACTCCACCTTTCTTAACAAGATATTTTTTCCAAGGACTGGTCTCCACTGACAACATGTATGTGTGATGAACTTTCAATATCTTTGCCTCTAAGGAACAGTCTGATTATACTTCCTCCAAGACAGATTGGTTTGATCTTTTGGCAGAACACTGGATATTCAAGACTTCACCAACACCACAACTCAAAGGCTTCAATTCTTCTTTGGTCATCTTCATTCTTTGTCGAATTTCCAAATGCATAAAAAACAATCGAAAATGCTGTGGCTTGGGTAGGAGTACCTTTGTCTTTACACTGACATCCTTGCTCTTTAATACTTTAGAGAAATCCTAAACAGCAGATCTCTTCCCAGAGCAACATGTCTTCCAAATTGTTGATGATTGGTATTATGTGTGCTGATTGTGGCCCAAGAAAAATTAAATTCCCAACAATTTCAGTATTTTATTCATCTATCATGATATTGCCTGTAAGTCCAGTGGTGAGAACTTTTGTTTTTGTGATGTTGAGATGTAATCTGTTGATTATGTAATATCTGTAGCCTTCGATCTTCTACGGTAAGTGGCTCAATTCTTCTTCACTTTCTACAAGTAAGATCGTGTCGTGTACATAAAGCGGATTGCTAATAAGTTACAAACAAGATCATGTCATCTGCATAATGTAGATTGTTGATGAGTTTTGTTCCAATCTTGATGCCACATTCTTCTTCATATATTCCAGCTACTCAAAATTCTTTCCTCCGCTTACAGATTGAATAGGTATGGAGAAAAAAGATACAACGCTGACACACACCTTTCCTGATCTTAACTCATGCAGTGTTCCCTTTTTCTGGTCAGACAGCAGCTTCTTTGTTGAAGCTGTGTTTCACACAAGCACAATTAAGTGTTGTGAGATTCCAATGCTTCTCAATTCTGGTCATAATTTGTTTTGATCCACAGAGTTAAATGCCTTTGCATAGTAAACACATGTAAACATCTTTCTGATATTCTCTGCTTTTAGTCAACATTAATCTGACATCTTCAGCGATACACCTCGTACCACAGTACCTTCTAAATGCAACTTGAAATTCTGGCAGTTTCTTGTTCATGTAGTGTTCCAGTCACTTTTTAATAGTCTTTAACAAAATTTGACTAGCTTGTGATATTAATATTATTTATTTCTGCAGTCTGTTGGATTGCTCTTTTATTTTTCTATGAATGGGAACAAATGTGAATTGGAAAAATGCAAATTAAAACCACAATAAGGTCATATTCCTCATGTGTTAGAATGTAAAACTCAACATAGACATCTGTATGTGTCCCAGGCATTTTTCTGCAAGGTACTTAGATAAGCAAAGAGGAAATACATGTCCATGTAGAGGAATGTATGTGATGTTCACAGAATTTTTATTCTCAATAGCCAGAAATCTGGAAACAGTCCAAATATCTATCACCAGGGTTGCTGTTGTTGTTGTTGTTGTTATGTGCCATCAAGTCGTTTGCGACTCATAGCGACCCTATGTACAACAGCCCTAAACCGTGCTCTATCCTGTGCCAATCGCATTGCCTCTGACACACCCATCCCGATTACCCCAGTCACTGAATCAATCCACCTCATAGAGGGTCTTCCCCTCCTGCGCTGTCCCTCCACTCTACCCAGCATGATGTCCCTCTCTAAAGACCTGTCTCTCCTTACAACATGTCTAAAGTATGTCAGACGAAGCCCCAGCATCCTTGCCTCCAAGGAGTAGCCTGGTTTAACCCCCTCCAGGATGAATCTGTCTGTTTTCTTGGCAGCCCAGGGTACATTCAATACTCTTCTCCAGCACCACAGCTCAAAGGCATCAATTCTCCTTCTATCCTCCCTAGTCATTGTCCAACTCTCTGATGCATAACAAGTGATTGCAAAAACCATGGCCTGTATCAGGCGCACCTTAGTCTCCAGAGAGACACCGTTGCTCTTGAGTACTTTAGAGAGGTCCCTAACAGCAGACTTTCCCATCGCAGTACGTTTTTTTATTTCCTGGCTGCTGGTGCCAAGAGTGTTGACCGTATCACCAGGGGACTACTCAGAAATACATGCGAGAAAAACTCGATGCGTACAAAAATGTGGGTGAGCTTCAGGGTCATTGTGCTGAATGAGTGAAGCAAGACAAAGAGAGTACATGTCATTATTAGCACCTCTTAGAAGACACAAACTCGTTTATGGTAACCAAAGCAGATCTTAGTGTTACAAGAGGGAGTGCTGGTGGCCTAGAGGCAGGAAACTGCAGTTTGAGGAGGGTCAGCTGTGTGTCCTTCTGACTTAAAGGTATAAAAAACAACTAGAAGAGGATTAGGGAGAGCGAGAAGGAGGAGTTGTTTTAAAGGGGCATGAGGAAACTTTTGGGGGCAGTAGACATGCTTACCACCTGGTTTGAGTCATAGTTCCACACTTGTGTATGAGTCTCATTTGTCTGATGCTTCTGTAACAGAGATACCAAGCCAAAATTTAGTCTCTTAGTTTTAGTAGGCTAGAAGTCCAAGTTCAGGAAGGTCCTCTCTTTAAGGTCACAAAGGAAAGTCCTCATTTCCTTTAACATCCGGAGACTCAGTGTTCACTGGAGACTCAGGGTGTTCTGGCCTTTCACAGTGGCAAGGATTGTCTTTGTGCAGGAACCTGGGTCCAAAAAGACCAACTCCATTCCTCTGACTTATTTCGTGGGGTACAGAGGGGTGCTGCAGTCCCACCTCATCACCTCACTTTCCTCCTCTTTCATCTCTATTGAGATAGAACTTATCACTGGCTACATACTATGGGAACTCCACTTATACCTTTACGTCCGATGAGGGTTTTGATGGGACAGGGGAGTATTGCTTCTCAAAGTTAGAAGCAGCTTTTTTGGAGTAATGGATATTTGAGAAGCAGGAGTTGGGCTGACTCTGACCAGAACTCAGAGTGCCGGGAAGCTGAGCGAGTGATTCCATCCATAGAACTGATTCCCTGGGAGCACAGAGCCCGAAAGCTGCAGTTCCAGAAGGAAGGGGAACCAGAGATTCATGTAATGTCCAAACAGAAAGGGACTTGTCATTCTCTAACCTAAATCTTGTTGGTGAAGAAACTGAGGCTCAAGGAATTAAAACTAGGAGCCCTGGTGGCCTGGTGGCATGAAGGTGCTCTGCAATCCTGAAGGCACTCAGTTCGAGGTCACCAACTGCTCCATGGTAGAAGGACGGGTGTCTCTTCCCGCGTGATTAACTGCCTCTGAAAACCCACTGGAGGGTCAGCTATGGGTCAGTTCTGACTCTATGGTACAACAACAACAACAAACATTACATATTGAATAAGGGCAGAGGTGAGACCAGAAGCAGTTATTTTCCTACCAATTCTTTTGGCTTTCTGATTCATCATTCTGAGACAGAAGACTCGTGCTAGAGTAGGATTGGCTAAAACAAACCCCCAGCCTACCATTACTGTGACCATCAGACATCACGAATCAACTACAGATTTCTTTCCTCTTGGGCCCAGACTTGCCCTTAGTGTATTTCTCAGCCCAAGGCCTCATTCAGGCAGTGCCACTGATGACTGATCTACCTGCTGCCCAGATACGTAATTATGTGAAATACTCCAAATTGTCTAATAAACTTTCATTTCCTTAATTACGCCCAAGACGAGTTTCCTCCCTGAAACTGGGCTCAGTTTATGAGGCTTCCTTGTAGAGTTCCTAACTGCTCTGTCTGGATGAATGTGAACTTGCTGGGGGCGGGGGGAAGGGGGGCGCGGCATTTATGATTTTCAAGAGGGGAAAACACCATGAGATTCGTTTGCTTGAAGAGCAGCAAGGAAAGCTCTCAGCCCTGCTGGGGTTTCTCTTTCTCTCTGCCTGCAGGTGGACAGGACAGAGGTGATCCGCACCTGCATAAACCCTGTATACTCAAAACTGTTCACCGTGGACTTCTACTTTGAAGAAGTGCAACGTCTGCGGTTTGAAGTTCACGACATCAGCAGCAACCACAACGGGTTGAAGGAGGCCGACTTCCTGGGTGGCATGGAGTGCACGCTCGGCCAGGTGGGTCACAGGGCACCCCTTCCTCTCACTTTTTGTAATATTCTTCCACCCTTCGCCCTTCACTTTGTGACTCAATCCTTCTGTTCGTTTTTCTTAAATATGTAATATTTTGCAACTTCCCGGGCACAATCATGTCTGTTATACTTCATAAAGGCAGCAGTAAATTTGTGAGTTCATTATTTTTGCAGACGTAATCATTTGCTCCCATAAATCCCCTCACGGGTTAACTGTTCTTTGTGCCTAACATGCTTCATGCTGAGCCGGACAATGAATAAGAAAGGTGGAAGGAGAACCAATGCTTTGAACTGGGGTTCTGGTAATGAGTACTGAGTAGGCCTTGACTGATGAGCAAACACGTCTCTTGGAAGAAGAGCAGCCAGGGGGGTTTAGAGGATGACAAAGCCATTGTCTCGCCAACTTTGAGCATATTGTCAGGAGCGGCTAGTCCTTGCAAAAAGGTATCGTGTTAAGAAAAGCGGAGGGTCAGAGGAGGAGGAGAAGTCTCTCCACGAGCTGGGTCGGCTACAGTGGTTTCAACCATGGGCTGGAGCCCAGTGGAGATGGTGAGGCTGGCACAGGAGGGCAGGTTCAGATCTGCCGTCCAAGGAGTCGCTGTGTACTGGAGTTCACTTACCTAACAGCAGTGATGTACCAGAGGCCATGACCTGCTCCTGTGTCTGTGACGGCCTGATCCTGTCACATCACATACTGCCATCTCCCAACTCAACTCTCAGGCCTCCAGGGTACTGAATACCGCTTACGTTTATTCAAAGTGCTAAAAAAGGGGGCTGAATTGATGCCATTTGGTGAATAAGTAAATTACTTTATGCAATCTTCTAACAAAACCATGGAAAATATCATTATTGTTTCCTTCTCATTGGTGACAAAAATCAACACTTGGTGAGATTTTAAGGTGACTTGTCCAAGGCCTCCCGCTAATATGTGACGGCCCCAATCTTCCTGATTTTAAGCCCCATTGCCTCGATTTATTAATGCCTTTCCTTTTTCCTCTCCTTCCTGCTATACCCAGAAGTGTAGGTGTTTGGGGGTGGGGCTATCTAAATGAAGAAGTAGTTCCTATACCCAGGAAATAGACACAATAACTGAAGAAGACATATATGTGCATGGAAAATAGAATATCCATGGTGTTCCCTAAACCTCAGTAAGGCTCTCCTGGACTCTGGTAGGTCTGTGGGTGTTGAGGAGGGGAGAAGAGGCACACTGTTGGTAATCTAGTGCCGCTGTAACAATAATGTATTTTCTCATGGTTTCAGAGACTCAGGGCCTGAATTCATGTGCTGACACTGGTGGAAGCCTTTTTCTCTGATCTGACTCTGGAGAATTGTCCTTGACTCTCTAGAATTTAGCTCAGGGGACCCATCTGCTCTCCTTGTTACTGAACGCAAGGGGTTCTTTCCTTAGTCAATTGCCAGTAAGACAGACAGATTGCAATACCCATAAGCTCTTTAATACAGATCTGGGATAAAGCAGTGAGAACCTTCTCAGAAACTGTCTCCTCATCTGGGAGTGGTCACTAGGCTCTTATACCAGGGTTAGGTACTAACTTACTTAATGATTCACTTTTGTTAGTAAAGCTAAAGAATTTCTACATTTGAAAAAAGAAAAAAAAATCCAATTCACACGTAAATATTAGTAAACAGGCAACCTATAAGCTAGTTAATATATGACTGAGAAAAACAGGTTTTGGAAAAATAAAAGCTAATTCAGGAAAGAATTAAACAGGTAAACAGGAAAATACAATTTACACAGGACTAGAAAAAACCGTTTCAAAGAGGTAAACACTGATCTGAGAAAGATGCATTTCCTCTCCTGGTAAACAGACAGCTTAAACTCCTTTACATGATTAAAGAAAGGAACTGAAGAATTCTAAGATAAAATAACCAGTTTTGTAGGCTGGAGAAAACTAATGTCAGTTTTATAACATATATGTATATGTAACTGATATATATATTTCTGAACATACTAATACCACCCCATCATCCTTACTTGTTTCAAACTCTTTCATATCTCAGAAGAGATTTGTTCAAAACATGTCTCATACTAATCCTGCCTCATTAAAACAAGACAACCAATTCCCAAATGAGATTTTAACCACAGGGATGTCATTGAATGCAAGGGCTTCCTTCCATAGTCAATTGTCAATAAAAGAGATTGCAATATCCAGAGCACTTTATTGTAGATCTGGGAAAGCAGAGAGAATCCTCTCCATAACTGCCGCCCTGTCTAAGGGCGGTCACTGATTTTTATACTTGGGTTAGGTGTTAATCTACTTAACATGTTACTATTGTTAGTTCAAACATACAAGATTTTTACATTCAAAGAGAACAGTTTACAGTTACTAATAAACAGACAACTTGTGATATCGTTTAACTATGACTGAATATGATGGTTTCAAAGACATAAATGCTAATCTGGGAAAGATGCATTCCTCCTCCTGGTAAACAGCTTAAGGTACAGTCCACAAGTGATTGAGAAAAAGACAACTTTAAGATTCTTACACATGATTTCTAGTTAACACACAACTTGGGGTACAGTTTACAAATAACTGAGAAAAGACAAATGCTAATTCAATGAAAGATGCATTTCCCCTCCTAGTAAACAGACAGTTTAAGTATTGCATGACTGTGGAGAAGTTACAGCAGGGTCTGAGGACCAAATGGTAACTTGATGTTGGACCAGTTTTGCAGGCTGGAGGCACATGATGTCAGTTTGAAAACTATGCCATATGTTTGAGTAATCCTGAACTTATTAATACCACCCTATAGGGATATATGTTAGTAATTACAACACATACTGTAGGGAGGTATACGTACAATCCATAACATTCCACCCTTTGCCCCCACAAAAGTCATGTTCTTGCCACCTGCAAAACACCCTATGCCATCCCATCACTGCAAAAGTTTTAAATAAATAGCAACTCCAAAATATCATCTTCTAAAGCATATAATTCAAATGTACATGAAAGTTTACACACATTTCATCCTGGGGTGAAATTCCTCTTTGTCTGTGAACCTGTGAATTCTAGAATGAAAGTTACCTGTTTTCAAAGTATAAGGCAGATAGCGTCCTTGTAAATGGGAAAAATTGAAGGGATAAAAGGGATGTGGGCACCAAGCGAGTTCAAATCCAGCATAATAAATGGCCTCGGTCCTCATGGCTTGAAAATACCCTCTGCTCTTTGAGACTGTGTGGGCAGCAGCCCGCCCTCCAGACTCTGGGTATAGGGTATTCCCTCTGAGTTCTGGGTAGAGGCTCCTCAGCCCTAGACTTCAGCCCCACCTCCCAGACCCACTGAGTTGGCAGCTCTGCTCCCTCTGTTTGGAGAGACTCCACTCACCTGGTCCATTTGAGCAAGCCCACCTCCTCAGCCCTGGCTGACCCTGTTCTCTGTACTTTAGACATGACAGTCCTAGCCTTTCAGTTTCCGGTTGTTGCCCGATCCTCTTTCAAATCCACCACCAGACAAACAGGCTTCTCCTGTGCATTTTATAGGCTCCAATCCCCCACCCCCACCAGAGTGTCAGCTATAAGTTGGTTCTGAGTGGGTGGCAATGAGTTTGAGTTCTTGGTCAAGATAAGTGATAGTCCTACATTGCAGAATCATGTTGGTGCAGATCTGACCCTGTGAGACATAGGAGGCCGGGGTTCTACCCTTGACACCAGCGGCTATGGTCCCACCCTTTGAGACCCTTTGAGCTCTGTTGCCCTGCTCCGTGGAACAGCTCTGTCGTCACTGAGCTGCTCCGGGGGTGGTTCTGCTCTTTCCTTGGAGGCCCCTTTGTACCATTTCCTGCTTGTAGAATTCCAATAAGCCAAGAGCTTTCTGTCATTTTTGTTCTGTCTCCGTCCTTTTCAGTGTAAGCGGATGGTTTTCTGTGATGGTAGCTGGTCAGATCCCTCACTTGTAAGCTTAATCTCTTTCATAAAAGCTAGTTTGGCCACATGCTTGTTAAAAATTCTAGGATATGTGGGCTTAGTTTGAACAACCTAACTTTCCAAATCTTAAAATTTTGTTTTCATTATTCATTTTTAAGTCTGTATCTTTCCTCTTGAATTTTACTATGAGAGGCAAAGAGAAGCCATGTGATCCTTTTTAAGATCTTCTTTAGAAATCTTTTCAACCAGATATCCAATTTCATTATTTACAGGTTCTATTTCCCACTATTGGAAGCAGGAGTGGCATTCACATCCAAAATAGCTTGTCTCCAGAAACCCTATGAACCTGGAGCAAGGAAGAAAACTATACAAGTGTCTATGTCTTTAATTCGTAGAGTCGCTATGAGTTGCCTAAGACTCGATGGCACTTAACAACAACCACCTTCCACTAACCATAATTCAAGCAAGTTCTTTGACACTGTATGAAATGTTGTTGTTGTTGTTAGGTGCCATCAAGTCAGAATGTACTCATAGTAGACACCACACCCCCCACACCCCTGACACCAGTAGGTTTTCAGAGGCTGTAAACGGCATCAGGAGAGATTGTGCCTTTTTCTCCTAAGGAGCAGTTGGTGAATTTGAACTATTCATCTTTGGGGTGGCAGCACACCCCTTACCCACTAGGCCACCAGAGCTCCTCACTGCATGAAAGGCCTGCCCTGTTTACATTGTCCAGTCACATGCTCAGCATTTTCCTTTGAAGCATCACCAGAAGCACATTTGATGTCCACATATTTAGTAAGTCTGTCACCACATGTAGCCTCTATGATAGAGACTTGCTGAATGTTGTTGTTATTGTTAGGTCCCATGGAGTCAGAACTGACTAAGAGTGGGCCCTCTAATGGGTTTTCAGAGCCTGTAAATTGCATGAGAGGAGATTGTTCATCTTTCTAAAATGGAGAATCTGGTGGATTTGAACTGCCTGCCTTTGGATTGGTAGGTAAACATAATTCTACCTACAGTTTCTTCCAGGCAATCTAAGTACTCACTATTGTTGGTGTTGTGTGCCCTTGAGTTGGAATGACTCATAGTTGACCCTCCAG